GATGTGGTGACAATGTCCCAGACACAGTGACAAACAGCCTCGAGGCAGCCACTGGTCCAACCTGTTGTACATGTCTCTTTCGCTCCTCCCAGCGGCCTTGGCTAGAGCTTCCCCACCTGGTTTGGAGGCCAAATCTAGGAGGCACTGTGCATGCCAAAGGCTGAAATGGCCTTGCAGCTGGCAAGACTGCTCTGAAGCACAGGCAGCGGTGGCAACCATCTGACTCAGCATGGTCACAATTCCCTCATTCTCTGCAAAACCTGGTGTCCCAGCTTGGAACTCAGAGTGGGAGCTGTCACTGCTGATAAACTTTTTTGGGGGAGAAGAGGGGAGCTGGTCTGATCAGAGTTGCCTCCTCAGAGCCTCATAATCATTCTGTGAAGCAAACAGGGCTGGGGGGTCCCATCCCAAGGGAGGGTGTTCAGGCTGGAGAAAGGGGAATGAACAGGGCACTGACCAGGCCTGGTGAGACCCAGCTAATCCACAGATGCCTTGGAGTTCCTTCCGGGGTGAAGGTGCTCACCCTCAGTAGGGAAGACCTAGGGCTGGACCCTGGCCTGGGCCTTCCTTGAACTTGGTGGGGTCTAGATTCTGCCACATCCTGAGAGGCAGTGTAGTAGCCAAGCAGTTAAAGCATGGAGTCTGATACCCAGAGGCCTGGATTTGAATCTTAGCTCTGCCACTCATTAGCTGTGTGGCTTGGGGGAAGTTAGTCAACCTCTCTGTGCATTGGTTTCCTCATCTGTAAAAGAGAGATGATAGTAATAGCATCTGCTCCCTTGGGTTGTGGTGAAGATAAAAGGCATGATATCTGTAATGTGCTTAAAGCAGTCACTGATGTGTGCTAAGCCCCACGAGACGTTAGCTAGTGCTACTGTCTTCCTCTCAGCCCCTGTCCAGGTCCTGGCAAAGGTGAACCTGGGAACAGCCACTGGGTGGGGTGAAACACTGTCATGACGCAGAGAGCAACACTGACTTTTTCTGTCCAGTCTCTCCACGCTAGAATACGAGCCCCATGCTACCTGCTGGTCCCTCGAAGAGAGCCTGGCACGGGGCAGGTGCTCTGTGACAAATGAACAAGCAGGTGCAAGACTTTTCCCTTGTGCGGGATGACCCTGAAAAGGGTCTCAACAGTCACAAATTACTAACTTGGCTGCAAACACAGCTGGGCGACAGAGAGTAAGAGCCAAAGCAGGCTTCAGACATTCTACTGGGACAGAGTTAAGAGCTTGCCTAGGAGTCTGGACGCTGGGCTTTGAGAGGTTTTGCTGCTCCCTCACTGTGGGGCCTCAGCAATCCCTGCCCCTTTCTGGGCCTCAGTGTCCTCACTGGATGACAAAAATGTAAGGTGGGACCGTGCTCTGCAGCCTCCAGGAAGTTCCTTTCCCATCAAGGCCCAGAACACAAGAGGCACTAGTAAAACAAGAAGGGAAGGGGCACACCCAGTTCTGAGGCTCAGGCTCCCTACTGTCAAAGTCAGGGTCAGGCTCAATTTCTGACAAGAATCTCCATAGATCATTTCCATGTCAACTCTGGGAGCCATTTTCTTTGGTTTTCCTTTAGAAAATGTTCATTTCTCCTCCCCTCAATTCCTAAACGTGAAACTTACATTAAAAAAGACATCCTGGAAAACAGGTACGTTTTTGACAGGGACAATCTGAAATTGCCACAGGTATAAACCCACGCTGCTGTTTGGTTTACTTCTGAGAGTCACGTACTCTGCGGAGAGGCAGTTCAGCTGGCAATTTATCTGAAGTGCACTGACCAAGCCAGACGAGCCTGGACTAGTCAAGTAGCTCGAATTATTTTAGGTTTTGTTAACTTTACCACTTTTGCTTCCAGAAACCAGATTCCATCTTGGAAGACAATGGTCCCCATCCCTATCTCTTTGTCATCTTTGGGTAATCACAATATTAATGGCCAGTCTGGAGGGTGGGGTGGGCTTATCTACCTGCTGCCAAGCAGCCAGCCAGAGGTATTATCCAATTGAATGGAGTTTTATTAAGAGCTGAAAAGTCAGGGACACGAAGTGATGTGTGGACCACGTAAGGCTGACTACCCACAAGGGAAGGAGCGGCATGCCCTGCAGCATCAAACTGCTGGTACTCACGTTCCAGGAGAATGGATGCGATTTGAGAGAAACTGCATCCCGGAGGGGCAAGTGTCAGACCAATAGCTCAGCAGGCTACCCAAAGTCTCTGTGGAACTCCTCCAGGTCAGAAGGAGTTTAGCTGCACACTTTCCCTTTTGGGGCACCCCACAACATTCCCACAGAAGAGGGTGTTCAGTCTCTGCCAGGATGGGAGGGAGCTCATGACTCTATAGCCTTCCTTCTCTGCCAGATTCCACGTCTCCATAGTTTTAAGTTCTCCTGCTTGCCACTGCCACCCTATTTCCTTTCTCCATCATGTGTTAGCACACTTCATAGGTGGAGAGCAGCACATACATGTGGCTTATAGACTGTGGCGAGCTAGCAGAGAAGCATTTGAAAACAGCTCATGCAACCAAAATGCCAACGTTTGAGTAAACCACCACCCAAGGACTGACTCCCCCGCCTTGGCCCTGTGAGTCTAGCTACTCAGTACTTCCATTCGCAGACATAAACATCCACTTATGAGTTCTGAAAACACCATCTAGGCCAACATTTGGACTCGAGTAATGCTAACAGGGCTGCATCATCAGTCGACTCACTTTCCTGCTGTGTGCCTTTGCAAAATTCTCTGGGAAGGATGCATTGGAATCTTCCAGATAAAAGTTGACACGGAAATAAGCTACTAATACATAGAAATATTGGACCTGAAGTAAAAAAAAAATTATTGCACTCTGCAGATAAAGAAACCAGAGATTTTTTTTTCCCCTGTCTGAGAACAGATCCTTTGGCAGAATTGCTAAAATGGAAGTAATTATCAAGAACTGAGAACATTAATCAAGAAAAACCTGTTCTCTCCTTGATCTTAAACTGTGTAGATGGAAGAACCAACAGACTGAAAATGAAATAAACTTGGACCACAAGGAACATTTCGTTTCCACCCCCCAAACCCACCTGATGTTTTACATCTCCCCCAGATACAGTGTAGGCTGTCCCGCCACCACCGCGGTAAGCGCAGGCCCCCAGCACCCCCGCCCCCCCTCACAGTGCTGTGCTAGAAACATTCCGCAAGCAGCTTTCCAGGGGAAAAAAGCTCTGATTAAAAACTCGGCTGCAGCACTTGATGATTTCTGTTGAAAATGTCCTCTCTGTGGCTGATTGTGAGCTACCAACACAATATCAACTGGCTGGCAAAATTCCTGAAAACAGTCGGCTTTTGGGAGCCAGTATGAGGCAGCTCTGGCACGGCATTGCCCCCTCCCCTGGCTGTGTGTGTCCTATGCCTTCTGCTCTAGGATCATACAAATGGTAAAGAGATAAATCACCAAAGAATAAGGCAGGTTGCTATAATGGTCCACGCGTGCTGCTTTGGGTTTCTAAATTCTTTCCATAATAATAATTATTGGAGCTAATCTTCATGAAGGGCCAACAACACAGTGCCAAGATGTTTCACAAGCATCATCTCATTTAATCCCCATGTCAACACGAGGAGGTAGGTACTATTACCATCCTTGTTTCCCAGAGGAGACAACTGATGTTCAGAGAGGCTTAGCAATTCACCCAAAGTCACACAGCTCATGAGTGAGAGAGCTAGGATCAAAACCTAACTTCCCCGCTTGTGCTCTGGCAGTAAGAGGAAAGTACACAAGAAGAAGCTATAAGGTCAACAGTTTGACTTAGCTGAGGAATCATGGGAAAAAATCCCACCCAAATAAATAGGTTTCAGGGTTGCCTTAGCAAGGGGCTCTTAACTTGGGGCTCATGAATAGAATCCAGAGAGCCTGTATACTCAAATGGGGAAAAAATTACATTTGTATTTTCACTAACCTCGAACAGAAATTTAGCATTTCCTTCAATTACGAATGTTGGCAACAAACCACAGTAATATTTACAGAACTTGTGACTGTGTCGCCAAGAGAAATCAGATATTTTTATTTCATATTATGGTCATAGCAGGAATCTCCAAATATCACTACCTTGAAATTACAGTGGTTATGAGAGACCTACTGCTAGCTCTTATTTCATGTGTTAAGAAACCCACTTACATAAATATATCACACATTTGTTTTGTTAATATGATAACTGTTTTGATCTAATTGGAATCCTTTGTGATACCATAGTTTTACTTGGTGCCTTTGAAAGCCTTTCTTTCTTTTCTTTTTTTTTTTTTTGAGAAAGGTCCATAAGTTTCACCAGAAAGCCAAGGACATCCATAGCACAAGAAGGATTAGGAATCCTAGCCTTTGAGAGTCATTTCACCAGCACCCAGCACCCAGTACTGAGCCTCTTCCTTTCCAAGTCTGAGACCCACTCGGCCCGAGGGAGCTCAGAAACCACCCATCACAACTGCCGTAAGGATCTTATGACCTACAGCCCCCTTGCCCTGTGCCCAGGTATAATGAGCCTTTTGATGGCTAGTTAGAGAGGTTCTCCTGAGAGCTCTAGGACTGGTACCCAGAAACAGGCTTGCTTGTTTATTTAGAATGGCTGGGCCCATTTGGACAGAGGCCGTGCCTGGGGCCTGTGATCATTGCTGGGCCTCCAACATTTTTCCCCAGTGAGACAGCTTGGGATCGTGAGTCAGTCCTTCCTGGGAAATGGCTGAGAAGCAGCTTTCAGAGATGAAAACTGGAGTGGAGAGGGTGACCATGTGGGAGGGGCAGGGGAGAGGCTCAGACCCCTGACCTCTCTCTTAGGCTATCCTGAAAGCCCTGTTCCATGGAAAAGGGGCACTGTCCTGCCCTCTTGGGGCTAAATCACCTCAGGGTGGCTCTGCTCCTCTGCCTGCATCACCTTGGTGGGGTCCCAAACCCGGCCGATGTCTACCACAGAGAAATTCTAGAAGGAGTGTGTTTCTATCTTGGTGGGAAAATAAGAACAGGGTGGGTCATCCAGGGAATAGGGAACCTACCTCTTCTTGGCCGAGCATCAAAGGATCCCAGAGGCACCCATAGGGTCCCAGGGCACCTGTATTTTAACAAACTAAGGAAGCAAAGCTGCAGTTTGGGATTCGGAGCAGTTCAGTCTGGGCAGTGCTTGGTTTTGCTCATTTCTCCCCAGGCTCTGCGAGGCGATGGAGGTCTGAGGGCAGTGTGCCTTTCCTTCCTGACTTGCATGTTTAGATTTCATCTTGCTGGAAAAGGAGGTCCTTACACGCATTCTTTCTCTTCTTAACAGCTCTGCCACTCCCTGGCTATGTGACAGGGAGCGAGGACTTGACCCTTTCCATGCCTAAGTGCCCTCCTTTGTAAAATGGAGGCAATAATAATAGAATCTACTGATCAGATGCTCTTTTTGAGCCACCAAGTGTAAAGTCCTGAGGACAAGGTCTGCTCTGGAGGGAACACTTGACAAGGATCAGCTGTTGTCACTGCTCTTTTCAGCATGGTGTGAAAGGCACACGGCATACATGCTCGGCTAAGAGTACAGGTCCAATACATGTGCAGACCATCCTCTTCCTCCTCATCCCATCACTTTAAATTCAAGGATGGCCAGGGAAAACTGTACCACACCAGGGTAGAAAAGACTCCATTAAGTGCTGTTAGTGTAAATTTCAGAGATGCAGAGATGACAGGTCTGATATAAAATGTCTGCAACATAAGTTTGTTTTCTATGCCTGTGAGTCTGTTTCTGTTTTATAAATAAATAAGTTCATTTGTGTTCTTTTTTATGATTCTGCATGTAACTGATATCATATGGTATTTTTCTTTCTCTTTCTGGATTATTTTGATGATCTCCAGGTCCATTCATGTTGCTGCAAATGGCATTATTTCATTCTTTTTATTGCTGAGTAATACTCCATTGTATAAATAGACCACAACTTCTTTATCCAGTCATCTGTTGGTGGACATTTACGTTGCTTCTACGCCTTGGCTGTACACCAGAAATTAACACATTGTAAACAGACTATACTCCTATCTGTCTATACATATATAGATACGTTTGCAACAAACTCTCTTTTGCAATTCAAGGACTAGGAGGAGGCCCTGGAGCTGGGCTCAAGTCGAATCCTTGGAGGCTAGTCCTGGAAGGACCATCAGATCCCACCTAGCCTTACCCACATCCTGTACACGGAGAAACTGAAGTTCGAGGAATGCCTGGCACGAACGCATCTGTCCGGCAGGGGACTTTGAGAAGGCATAGTATCACCCAAGCCCCCTCCCCATCTTGCCTGTCTCTCGTCAGCCTTTAAAGAGACAATACAGGCACACATTACTAATTATAAAGTAGATAAACAACAAGGACCTACTGTATACACAGGGAGCTATAGTCAATTTCTTGTAATAAAATACAATGGAAAAGGATCTGAAAAGAAAATATCTATGTATATATATGTATAACTGAATCACTTTGCCGTACACCTGAAACTAACAATCTAAATCAACTGCACTGCAATAAAAAATTTAAAAAAGAAAGATAATAGGAAAAAGAAGTGCTTATGAAACAGTCGATGTTCCAAGGGTGGCGAATGGGGAATGGCACAACTGCCCTCTCTTCCTGACTCACCCTAAGTTAGAGGCCAAGTGTCTGCCACTCCACCCCGTTGCAATGGCTTCCTAGACCCAGGCAATGACATGGCCACACAGGTGGGCTCCAGCCCTAGAAGGGGGTGCCCAGAAAAACTGCCCACTCACGCTCCAGAAACTTTGTTTCTTCGGCTGGCAGCCAGAGAAAAGCTCTGAACTCTTGGCTGTCCCCTCCCTTCCCTCTGCCACCCGCAGCTCTCAGTCTCCCCTTCAAAGAGGCCAATCTGACTCCTATTGATGTTCCCTGTTCCCAAGCCCCTGACTCCCTCGTCCAGTTTTCCCTTCATCATTTGCCCCTCCTTCCCATCTTGTTTCATAATACGGACCAAAGGTTATTTCTGGATCCAGCCCAATGTCTGATTTGCTGCAGAACGTGTGAACAGCCTGGACCTCTGCCAACCCCATAGAAAGCCATGGATTAAAAAAAAATCACACCAGCATGGAATTAATATTGTACAACTCTTTTGAAAAAAAAGCAGTTTGGGAATTTCTTAAAAAGTTAAGAAATACACCTTATAACCCAAGCATCCTACTGCTGGGTATTTATCTAGAGAAAGGAAAGAGTCTATTCATGAAAACCCTTGTTTGTTTACTTTGACAGCAAGTGTATTTATGGTTGCCCCAAGCTGGAAACAACCCAAATACCCATCAACAGGTGAATGGAGAAATAAATTGTGGCATAATCCATACAACAGAATAATGCTCAGTGATTAAAAAAAGAATGAACAATTGACACACAGGACATGAGTTGGAGCTCAGTCATTAAGCTGAATGAATGAAGCCAGACCAAAAAAAAAAAAACCTCCCTATTCTATGATTCCATTTATACAAAACTCGAGAAAATGCAAGCTACTCAGGATTGACAGAAAACAGATCAGTGGTTGCCCAGAGATGGTAAAAAAGGGGTAGGAGGGAGAGATGCCCAAGGAGCCTAAGGAAACTTTGGGAGGTGGTGAGTATCCTCATTATCCTGGCTGTGGTGATGGAGTATACATGTGGCCAAACCGATCAGACTGTGCTTTAAATCTGTACAGTTTATTGTATGTCAATTACACCTCTACCAAGTGGTAAAAGCATCCCATCAGCAGCTCAGGTTCCAGCTTCGGGTGATATCCCAGGGCCTTGGAGTCCAGGAGTCCAGGAGTGTGGGTGATGTTCAACATTTCACATGACGGATCGATGCATTTTGCTCAGCGTTCTAGTGGGCCTGTGCTTTCTCAGCTTTCCGGGTGAGGCTCTCCAGTATAATTTCACTTGGACTTTCTGGACGGCACCCAGGAAGCGATCAAGCAAATGTAGTGGCCCTGGCCTCTTTCCACTTCCACTTTATCCCGTCCACACTGGGGGGGACTGGATCCACCCGGAAGTCAGAGGAGGGGAATGAGACTCCAGGGAGGGCTGGGCTACCTGGCCCCTCGTCCCACGTGGACAAATGAGAGCCAGTGTCTGCTAACTCGGGCTCTCTGGGCTGCCTGCTGCTGAGCTGAAGATGGCTAGCCTGCCCTGCCCTCCTCAGAGCCACAGATAGGATTACTGATGTCCAAATTCTCAGAAAACAAGTCATAAAATATGGTTTCAAGCCCACAATGGCTTTGCTTATCAAGGTAAAAATCACATAACAAAGCTAGCCATTGGAAAGTGTACAGTTCAGTGGCATTTAGTATATTTACAAAGCTGTGCAATCAGACTCTATCTAGTCCCCAAATACTGTCCTCACTCCAAAAGGAAACCTTGTAGCCAGTAGCAGTCACTTCTCATCTCTCACTCCCCACCCCAACCCTTGGCAACCATGAATTTGCTTTCTGGTGCTATGGATTTACTGATTCTGAACATTTCCTATAAATGGGATCGTACAATATGTGGTCATCTGTGTCTGGCTTCTGGTCCTTAGCATCACATTGTGGAGGTCCACCCATGTTGTAGCATGGCTCAGTATTTCATTCCTTGTCTTGGCTGAATTATATTCCAGGGTATGAATGGCAATGACTTTTGCCTTCTCTCTACTTTCTGAATCAAAATCCTCCGGCTCAGATACATACTAGTTGAAGTCTCCATTAATACATGGGGCAAGGGTGTGGAGATAGAGCAGGAAGAACACTTGCCTGAGAGGTCTCCGTTCTAACGGATCTAAAGTTCCTTATGGAACTTTCCAGTCTCTACCCAGGAGGTACCCACTTAAGCCCCAGGGCGGAAGGAATCTGTAGATGTCTCAGGCTACTATCTTGTTTCTCTGACAATAGCATGTGACCACTTCTGAGTAACACTCAGTATTTTTTTTTCTAACCAGCCTCTCTTTAGAGAGCAATGTGGCAAGCTGGGTCAGAAATATAAGATCTTTTTCCAAGCCACCAAGACAGCCACTGCCAGATTTTCACACCATGTACATCCCCTCCTAAAGCCCCTTAAGAGTCCCTGAGCATCACTCAATGGTTCTTTCATGCCATCTGCACTCGTTTTCTGGGGCTGTCCTAACAAATTACCACAAACCAGGTGGCTTGAAGTATCAGAAATGGATTCTTTCCCACTTTGGGAAGCCGGAAGTCTGAAATCCAGGTGTGGTTTCTTCTGGAGGCCATGAGGGAGAATCTGTTCCAGGACTCTCTTCCAGCTTCTGATGCTGCCGGCAGCCTTCGATGTTCCTTGGCTTGTAGATACACCACTGTATCCCTGTCTCCGTCTTCACCTGGCCTTCTCCTCTCTGTGTGTCTCTGTCAAACTTTCCTTCTTCTTATAAGGACCCTAGTCATATTGGGTTAGGGCTCATTCTAATGACCTTAACTTGATTACATCTGCTTACTTGCTTCCCAGTAAAGTCACATGCATATGCTGTGGGGATTCAGACTTCATAACATACAGTTGGAGGGGACACAATTCAACCCACAACACCATTCAACTCTCTGAGTTGGACACCTTCCATGATTGTTGACAGCAGTGTCTCTATCACAGATTCCAGCCCACATCTCCGTTCGGGTGACACATCAGTCAGGCCTGTCTTGGGAGTAACAGCCATCTGTTGATTCTGCCTCTCAGCCGTCTGTCAGGTCTGTCTCCTTCCACTGCTCTGCTTTATCCTCATCATCTTTCCCCTGGAATCCCGCCACAGCCTAGTCCCAGGGGACCACTCCTGCCTCCAGTCTCTGTCTTCTAATTTGTCCTCTACACTGCAGTCAGAGCAATCTTTCCAAGACGCTGACCTGATCATCTTCCTGCTCAAAAATACGGGTGGCTCCATGCTCCCTCTGGGGAATGTTCCAGAGCATGGCCTGTGGAATCCTCCACATTTGCCAGCTCATCGCTGTCCTGCCTTCAGTCCTCTGGACCCCCTGCTGCTCCCAAACTTGCCACCTTGGAGCCCAAGCCAAGGCTAAGCTGCTTGGGTGATGCCTTCTGCCTGCCTGACCTCTGAGCCATACATCCCCCTCTTCTCCCTGAATACGAATATCACTTGGTTTGAGCCTTTCTGGCATCTAGCCATCTACCCTCCAGAGAG